ATTATTAAAAAAAAAAAAAAAAAAAAAGTCATTTTCTCTACCACCAAAATATATAATAAAAGCCTTTTAAGGTGTTCCACTTCCAAATTTTGCATAATGTATTTATTTATTAATTTATTTACAAAACTTTTTGTAAAATTTATTCCATTTTGATAATCTCAATGTCAAACCCTTTGACTTTTTTCTTCATCAGCAATTTATTCTTAGTCAATTTGTAATAATGTTTCCTTTTTTTCTTTTCCTCTTCTTTCTACCAAAAATTAAAAAAATAAAATAAGTTAGACAAATCCTTTTTTTTATATATAATAATTAATAAATTACCCGACTTAAAATACTTACTTTCCGTCCAAAAGTCGTATAAATACTCTTTTACTTTATTTAATAAGCAAATTCCGATCTTACAATGGGTAAATAAAATATAATCTTTCATATTTAAACAACAATTAAGCTAAACTAAAAACATAATAAATGAGATGAGCCAATTATGTACCCTTCCAAATGGACCTAAATTTTTCAAAGTGGAATATATATATATATATATATATATATATATATAAATTCTTAAAAAAAAAAAGTAGAAAGAAAAAAAAAACATGGGTGTTTTTTTTTTTTTTTTTTTTTTATAAAAAAATGTTATATAAGATTATCATAAATGTGTGTCCAAGTTCAATTTATGTGATGGAAGTGTTATTTTCTTCAAAGGGTTGACTTTAATTTTCCATTTTTTTGGTGGGGGAGAAAAAACATTATAAGAGAGAAAAAAAATTTGTACTTTAAATCTTAAATTTTCAAAAATTCAATTAAAGTTTTCCGAGTACACTCGGGTTGAATTCATGGACCTTACAAATATATTAGTCATACGAACAACTATATCATTTTTAAAATTATTTTTCTCTATGTATATTCTAGTTAAGACATATTTTCTCAATCAAGAGGTTAGATGTTCGAATCTCTACCATTATTTATTAACTTAGAAAAAATATTTTCAAACTTTTATATTATAAGATAATATATTATTATAAATTTTCTGTAATAAAATCACGTCTCGATACATTTATTTATTTATTTATTTATATCGTTCATATTTATTAAAAAAAAAATTGTAAGGGCTATAGTGAAAAAAAAAATAGGGATCCACTTAGGACTAAAATGTTATGTCGCCACTTTGTCTCCCACATTACATCACTATTTATTTCTTTTTATTTTTATTTTTTTATTTTTCTTTTTAACATTGTACCTTGCTGCACATTTTTAAAGTGTTCCAATTGTTGACTCTATCTGCCGACAACCCAATAGTTTGTTGCCACGTGTCAACGTCAGGGTCTACCATACCTAAGCTAGAGAGAAATTGAATTTTTCTTTTGAGGAAAAGTTTTCCATTTCCATATTAATTGCATTTAGAAGAGACATTTTTTTTTATAGATAAATCCACTTTTTTAAAGCTGAATTATTAAAATTCAATTCTTTTTAAGTTTTTATCAATATTATTTTAACTATTTAATCCTATTTTTCTTTAAATTATAAATTTAGTTTTAATGTTTGATTTGATTTCTGAATTTTAACAATTTTAATTTTATTTTTTAATACATTCTTGAATTTTTAATTTTATGTTAAAAAAGTTTTAATTTTGTGTCTCCTTTCTTATAAAAATAAAAAATAAAAAAAAATAAATTACTTGACCACCTAATGAGAATTGAGGTCCTTGCATGGACGTCTTGTCCCCAAGATTTGTTTGCTATGTATGGAATGCCTCGTGGTTCCTTGAGTGTCAATTGCAAGGAGGAATGTCACTAACTAGGGCGTCATTGTCCACTAACCACTCACCCGCTGCCACTCGAGCTTCGCATTTCAAGTTCATTATTCTAATCCTCT